GCCCCCCAGGACGCCCCCTACCACCCGCCCCGCAGCGGGTCCCGGGACCCTCCCCAAACCCTGCGGGTCCCCGGGAGACCCCCAGATCGCAGGCCAGGCTGTGGCTGAGTAGGCAGGACCCCTTCTTCCGAGAAGACCCCTTGTGGGGTGTCGGGCTTGTGACACCCCCCGAGGCACCCTTCTGCTGCCAGCAACATCCATATCAGTAATACTTATTACTGTTATTATTATTATTACTAGCTGACACTCGAGCCCTTGCAGAAGTTCTAATTCTCAGAACAATTTTCCAGAAATTGAGATCAGAGCGTGATTTCACTTGCCCCAAATCACCCCTAAGGGTCGGAGATGGGGAACCCCCCAATAAATGTACTGGCATTCCTGCAGTTCTTTCTGTGTGTAGATTTCACACAGAAAAATGCAACCCACACTCCCCGTTCCCCGTTCGCCCCCGCCTAGTCTTTCTCTATCGACACACCCGCTGACACGCCGTATATTTTACTTGTTTATCTGCTCACCCCAGCCAGGAGGGCGGGGCTTTCTGTCTTGTTCCCTGATGTGTCTCTGGGACGCAGGGTAGAGTCTCTATAAATGAATGAATGGGCCGGGCTGCGGTGTCTCTCGCCTGTAATCCCAGCACTTTGGGAGGCCGAGGCGGGCAGATCACCTGAGGTCAGGAGTTCGAGATCAGCCTGGCCAATATGGTGAAACCCCATCTCTACTAAAAATACAAAAAATTAGCAGGGTGTGGTGGTGGGTGCCTGTAATCCCAGCTACTTGAGAGGCTGAGGCAGGAGAATCGCTTGAACCCGGGAGACAGAGGTTGCAGTGGGCAGAGATCATGCCAGTGCACTCCAGCCTGGGCGACAGAGCGAGACTTTGTCTCAAAAAACAACAGCAAAAATTAACCGAGCATGGTGGCATCCATCTGTAGTCCCAGCTACTTGGGTGGCTGAGGCAGGAGAACCCACTGAACCCAGGAGGTGGGGGTCGAAGTGAGCCGAGATCGTGCCACTGCACTCCAGCCTGGGCAACAGAGCGACAGTCTGTCTCAAAAAAAAAAAAGAATGAATGCACCAGCCTCTGCTGTGAGCACTTTCCAGGGATTAAAATGGGGTCTTCCTAACAAGGATCTGTTCTGTAATTATACCCATTTTACAGATAGGGAAACTACGCCCCAGCGTGGTGAAGCCACTTGCCTGAATCAACCAGCTGTGAGAGGAAGAGCCAGGATTTAAACCCAGGCCGGACACTGCATGCAGAGGACCATCCTAGGACATCTGTGCCATATCTGTGACAGCTGCTGATGCCTTTCACACTCACAGTTTTTTGTTTTTTGTGTTTTTTTTTTGAGACGAAGTTTTGCTCTTGTCGCCCAGGCTGGAGTTCAAGGGCACGATCTTGGCTCACTTCAACCCCCACCTCCCGGGTTCAAGGGATTCTCCTGCCTCAGCCTCCCAAGTAGCTGGGATTACAGGCACCCGCCACCATGCCCGGCTAATTTTGTATTTTTAGTAGAGACAGGGTTTCCCCATGTTGGTCAGGCTGGTCTCGAACTCCCAACCTCAGGTGATCCGCCCACCTCGGCCTCCCAAAGTGCTGGGATGACAGGCATGAGCCACCGCACCGGGCCTGTTTTTGTTTTTTAATAAGGACAGTGTCTCGCTCACTAGCCAGGCTGGAGTTCAGTGGCGCGATCATGGCTCCTTGCAGCCTCAAACTCCTAAGCTCAAGCAATCCTCCTGCCTCAGCCTTCGGAGTAGGTGGGACTACAGGCGCACACCACCACACCTGGCTACGTTTTTGTATTTTTAGTAGAGATGGGGTTTCACCATGTTGTCCAGGCTGGTCTCGAACTCCTCGCCTTAAATGATCCTCCCACTTTGGCCTCCCAAAGTGCTCGGATTACAGGCATGAGCCACCGCACCCGGCCTTATTTTTATTTTTCGTAGAGATGAAGTCTTCGTATGTTGCCCAGGCTGATCTTGAACTCCTGGGTTCAAGCGCTTCTCCAGTGTCAGCCTCCCAAAGTGTTGGGATTACAGGTGTGTGCCAGCGTGTCTGGCTGGTCTCAGGGTCTTTGTATGGGAACTGGGGCAGGGATGTTGAGAAACCCACCCTGCTTTTGGTGGGTGAGAGTCACAGGAGGCCTTCAGAAAAGTGACTTCTAGGCAGTCTCGGAGAATTAGAATGCCTGGGGAGGGGAAATCAGACAACCCTGTTCCAGGCAGAGGGAACAGCACATGAAAAGGCCTCAAGGCAAGGGATAGCAAGATGTTCCACCTTGGCTGCAGCCTGTTGAGTAGGAATGAAAGATGGGTAGGGTCTCCTGGGCCGAGGTGAAGAATTTATGATTTATTCAAGGGCAGTGAGAGCCAAAGATAATCTTTTCTTTCTTTTTTGAGACAGAATCTCACTCTGTCAGTTACGCTGGAGTGCAGTGGCATGATCATAGTTCACTACAGCCTTGACCTCCAGGGCTCAAGCAATCCTCCCCACTCAGCCTCCCAAGTAGCTGGGACCACAGGTACACACCACTATGCCCGGCTAATTCTTGTATTTTTGCAGATAGGGGCTCACTGTGTTGCTCAGACCGGTCTTGAACTCCCAGCCTCAAGTGATTCTGTCACCTTGGCCTCCCAAAGTGCTGGGATTACAGGTGTGAGCCACCAGGAGCAGCCTGTCTTTTTTCCCGGCTGTGTAGCATTCCACTGTGTGACCATGTCACAACCTACCTATTTGATTGGGGGCAATCATGACAAATTACAGCAGCTCTGAACACTCTTGTTCAGGTTTTTTTTTTTTTTTTTTGAGACAGAGTCTCACTGTCACCCAGGTTGGAGCGCAGTGGCGCAATCTCAGCTCACTACAACCTCCGCCTCAGTGGGTTCAAGCAATTCTCCTGCCTGAGCCTCCTGAGTAGCTGGGACTACAGGGCTGCCATCACACCTGACTACTTTTTGTATTTTTAGTAGAGACGGGGTTTCACCATGTTGGCCAGGCTGGTCTGGAACTCCTGGCCTCAAGTGATCCGCCTGCCTCGGCCTCCCAAAGTGTTGGAGTGACAGGCGTGAGCCACCGCACCTGCTAGGAACTCTTGATGTTCTAGGAGGGTGTCTCACATTGGAAGGAACCCCATCCTCCCCCGGGGGCAGCCACGACACAGAGGCAGGGACACAGCACTGAACCTTCTCACATCTTTATTTGAAAGGCACAGCTAAGCCCACCCTTGATACAGCATTTTCCACTTCTCTCTGTAGAGATCAAACGACTGAACACAAGATAAGCTGACTATATACACACACAGGTGTGGGTGTTGCTTTTTAAAAACATTTTTGTCTTTTTTTTTTAATATCCCCTTTCTTAAAAGACAAGCTAGTATACTGGAAAAAGAAAAAAATAATAATAAAATAAAAACCAAGACAACTTTAGTACCCTCATCTTTATTTGGGAAGGGGAGGGGGAATCCTGGGTCGCCCACCCTCACCCTGCTCCTCCCAGCACAGCTAAGCTCGTCCCTCGTGCCCCCTCTTTTGTGGGCAATGGGAGAGGACCAGGTGGGCGTGGAGGCGTCTGGAACTAGCAGAGGTGGTGAGTGGGGCAGGAAGTGGAGGTGGGAGCAGACCTGGGACCCGGGGTCGGGGGAGACTCGGGGTGCCCAGGATGGGAAAGGGGCAGCTAGCATTGCGTGCATGCAGTACCAGGGTGAGAGAGCAGTGGCGTGTGCCCCGAGGGGCCCGGGCAGACTGTCAGTTACACGTGTTCAAAACGGGGGAAGTGCCAGGGGTTCTGGGCTTCTCGAGGTCTTGCTCCCTTGGGGACCTGGTCTCCCATCTGACCCTCCAGGCCTCAGCTTGCCTCACATGTCAGGGCAGGTATCCACCTATCCAGGCTGCAGGGGAGGAGGAGGGAGGCCGGGACTGGGGTAGGAAGAAAGCTAGAGGTGGCCTGTAAGTCGGACTGGGGCCTCCGCAGGCAGCCGCCATAAATACTATGGGAGTTTAGCCAATCCCGAGCTCCGCTGTGTCTTGTGCTAAACATTCCTTTCTCTCCATGCCTCTGTCTCCCCTCTGTCCCCCCTCCCACCCTCCCCGTCCCGGCCCCCTGCTAATCCGACTTCTCGCCGTCATCCTCCTGGTGGGTGTCACCGTCGTGCCCGTTCTTGTCTTCCTTGGAGAGGTGGGCCTGGGAACCCAGCGCGGACAGCGAGAGCAGGCCGGTGCCTGCGCTGACCGCCGGCAGCGAAGGCGGCTGCAGCCCCACAGGCAGTGGGGTCAAGGGCAGGGCCAGGGCCTGCAGCTGGGACAGCTGATGGGCTTGGAGCTGCTGCTGCAGGGCGGGGGAGGGGAACGTTAGCTGCCTAGGGCCCACCTGTCCCCCGCCCACCCGCCCAGGTCCCCATACGTACTCGGATGATAGAGTTCAACTCAGGAGCGGTGACCTGCTTGGCCCTCTCGATGGCTCCCAAGACCTGCTGCTGGTGCTGGAAGGGGGTGAGGAGAGAGGAGAGGCAGTGATTCCTCCTGATCCTGACTGAGAGAGGAGGCGGGGGCTACCCTGAGGCCAGGAGGAGCCCCACTACCAAGTGGGCCATCATGTCTGCTCCTCCCAGTGGTTTTCAACCCCATCAGAAAGCGCCTTCCCTCTCTCCAACTGCTTCCTTTCACCAAGCTCGTCTCTTCATCTGGCCAATGGAGATAAATGGAAAAGTGCAGAAAACGATTAAAAGGGTTTTGTGCCAAGTAGTTAGAAAACGGCCTTTGAGTGAGTCTGGGAGAAACCCCGGATCCTGACCTATCCTATGTCCGCAGCCATGTACAAAGACGTGAAAAGACGTGAATATTTGTGCAGTACACAACCTGCCCAACTGTACAGGGACGTCCTGATCCTAGGAGCTCCAAGACTGTGCCCTGAGTCCGGCCAAATTGAGCCCTTCTCCTACCATGGCTAGAGAGGGCCCAATGAATTCTGGCAGAGCCAGCTGGGGCATGGACCTAGGTTCAGGGCAGTTCCTCCCCCAGCTCTCCCCAAACACCTGACTCTGTGGCCAGCAGATGCTAGAATCTATCAATCTCCCTTTTTGCTTTGGCCACCAGGAAGCCTCCGTTCTGAAAAGTTCCAATTGCCCTTTTCTCTAGGGCTTTCATTGGGTCCTTCTAGACTTGTCCCTGGGCAAAGCAGGGTACCCAAAGGATCCTGAGATACAGCGATTAAAGAGGAAATTACAAATTTTTGACAGTAAACTTGGCAGGGACAGGAGAAGGGCCTTACATGGCCCTGGGGAGGGGCAGCCTTGCATCCTGAGCCTCAGAACCCAAGAAAGGAGAAGAGAAGCTGGGCGTCAGGTTCCTCTGGGTGTGTGTGCATGTGGTAGTGTGTGCTCAGGATCACGTGTGCTCACGTGTAGCTGCACATTCCTGCGTGTGTGACCCTGTGCTGTCTGCACACACCGTGTATCCGTGCGTGCCTGCGTCTGTGTGTGTATCTCCCGTATGTTGATGTGCTCATACCTATCTATGTGGCTGTGTCCATGGGGGACCGCCCTGTGCTACCCCATCCCCGAAACACACCCTCTAGTCCTTGGTCCTGCGCAGCCCGCACGGCCTGAAGGATGTCCTCGAGAGGGTGAAAGGAGGAAGAGAGATGAGAAAAAAACATTCCTGGTGCAGTTTTGGCCCAGCCGACATTTCTACCTATGACATGACTCACTCCAGCTGGGAATTCCAGAGCAGGGTGAGGCCCGGCCCCCACACCCCTGCAACCCTGGAGTGTCTCCGGCCCGGGGATTCTTCTGCACAGGCCGGCTCTAGTGTCCAGAGCCAGGGAGGTCCAGAGAGGGGAGGCGTGTGCCCTGGGGCGCCCAGCACGCCCCCCAAGATGGTTGCAGCGGACAGGGGCTGGGCAAGGGGAGGGCCCCCGGCACCCCCTCCCTGAGGCCCTGGCTCTCACCTCTTGGGAGAGGTAGGGAAGGACCTGGGCACAAATCCCGTTCAGCCTTTTGACGATCTCCGCCTGGAACACACAGATGAAGTCAGCGTCAGTCCTGGACGGGTGGCAGGTGCAGGCCAGCCCCAGGAGGCCCGCACGGGGCCCAGCCCAGCCCCGCCACTTGCGGCTTCTCTCTAAGAGGGGCTAGGTCTGGCCAGGGTGGGATGAGCAAACCCGTGTTCGGGCCCAAGGGCAGCCAGTCCGTGGCAAAGGTGGGGCTGGAGACCGGCTGTCGCCTGCAGCTTAGAGGGCAGTAAATGCAGGATGAGGCCAGACTGCACATTCCTCGGCTACATTCCTCAGGGCTCGGCCACTCAGGCCCCTGGCAGATAGTAAGCGCTCGTGGGAATGTAGGGAGGGCTGGGGGCCACAGGTTGTGGGGAAGGTCTCCGCCTCTCCCGCCACCCCCAGGAAACACTCCAAGGGAGGCCTGAGAAAGAGGCGGTGGGGAGGAGAGTGGGAGCTTGGGAAGGGCTTAGGAGGTAACAGGATAACAGGGCTGGCTTGGTGCCCAGCCAAAGGCCGGCCGCTACCTGCCTGGGGGTGCCCAAGGGGGTGCTGGAGGCGAGGGGCAGAGGGGGAGGAGGGGGGAAGGAGGAGAAGGAGGAGATGGGCGTACCTGTTTGTGCATCTCGATGTTCAAACCGTAGGACATCTCATAGTACTGTATGGGGGAGAGAGAGAGGGAGCGGGAGATGAGGGCGGGGAAGGATGGGGGGGCATGGAGACAAAGAGATAGGGGAGTGGCAGAGACAGACAAAGAGGGGAGACAGCAAGAGACAGCTGAGGGCAGGAAAGAAACGAGGCAGGTGGGAGGGAAAGAGCAGGAGGGAGAGACGCCCACACCCAGCGTCCCAGCCAGCCCGGGAGAGGGGCAAGGGGCCCGCTGGGGCTGCGGATGGAGACTGGAGGCACTTTAGGTCCCTAGCCCTGGCCTGGCTCCTCCCCCACTCCGTGTGCACCGCGAGAACACACATTCCAGGGCTCCTAATCTTGTATCTTTCTATGATCTGTCTGCGGGTGGGCCCAGACTCCAGGGAAGTTTGCCTGCCTGGGTATAAACAGTGAGAGATAAACAAAGCCTGCTGGCTCTGGGGCCAGCAGCTACCCCTGCCCGAAGCCCCAGATCTCACCCTGCCCCTCCCCTGCTCTAAACCCTCCCATGGCTCCCCGTCACCCCTGGGGGAGAAAACCAAGTTCATTCCCAGGCCTTCACATGGCTTCTCCGTCTCTGTCTGGTGAACTCCTACTCATCCTGCAAGACCCCAGCTGTGTGCCCCACTTCTCCATATAGTCTTCCTCAGGCAGGTCCTAGGTCCCTCTATCTGCCCCCAGCCCTATCCTTCTGGCTGGGAGGGTTAGGGTCCGGCTCTGCCTCCCCCACAGTCTGGGAGATTTGGGTTCTGGGCTGAGACCCCAGCATCGCGGCTTGAGGGCCAGGCCAAGTGGGGGTAAGGGAGGGGATTTTTGATGCAGAAATTGCCACCTGGTGGTTACTAAACTGAGCAAGTGATTCTGGCAGCAGCAATGCAGTGTCACACCTCAGCCCCCCAAAATAAGTAGGGCTCAGACTCCCTCCCACAGGCTTCCTCTTTGAGCTCGGGCCCAAAGGGGTTAAGCGTGTGGACGCTGGGACCTTGGCGGTGGGGAGGGACCCGGCTGCTCCCCCACGTCAGTTCCTGGCTGTTGGCTTTCACAGCCGGTGAGCCTCCTCCTCCTCCCTCCTCCGCTGCCAAGGACAGCCAGGGGACCTGGCAGGGCCGGTCTGCAACCCGGCGGTTTGGCACCTAGGCCACTGCCTCGGCCAGCTGCCAGGCTAGCGAGGCAGGCTCAGCCCAGCAGGGGCCGGCTGAGTGGAGAACAGGCCCCGAGTCCTCGCGCTTCCCAGGGGAGGTGGCCGGGGTTTAGGGAGCAGCTGCCTGTGGTGGATGGGATGTGGGGGGCCCTGTCCCCCACCCCCAACACTGGACCTAGGGGCGGAGTTACTTTACCATCACATAGTGACGCTGCATCTCCGACTTCTCACTGGCCAACTTGTCACATTCGAGCTTGAGGCTGAGGAGGCACAGGGGGAGACGGGTGGTTGGTGGCAGCTGGATAAGAGCCCCCCACCCTCCGTGATCCAGGGGAGGAAACTGAGGCTCCAAGGCCCCAAAACCCCTGTAAGGGAAAGATCAGCCAATTCTCAGAGGGTCAAACAACATTTTTTTTTTAAATTGAGACGGGGGTCTCCCCATGTTGCCCAGGCTGGTCTCAAAAACTCCTGGGCTCAAGCAATCCTCCTGCCTCGACCTCCCAAACCTCTTGGGATTACAGATGTGAGCCACCCACCGTGCCTGGTCAACGAAGCCATAAACTTTGATAGGGGCTGAGGACGTTGAATTGAGGGGCAGGGAAGCTGGTAACAGTTGAGCTCTCTGTGATGCTGGGGGGAGGGGAGAGCATCAGGGCCCCTGACTGTAAGAAGGGGTGACGAAACCACCTTTGCAGATCTGGTCGGGCGAAAATATCCAGTATTATAGGAACAACTGAAGTTCGAGGACGCACAGCAATGCTGGCTCAGAGAGTTTCACGAGCTTTTACCTCTCACGATCCCGATGAGGCCCGCAATGTCATTGTCACGCTCCTTTTATAGATGACACAGTGGACACCCAGAGAGGGTGAGGAGCTGCCTCAAGGTCACACAGCCAAGCAACAGCCCAAGCTCTCAACCACAGGGGAAAATTTTCCAGACCCAAATAGAACGTACAAAGAGGCTGAGCGCGTCTGGGGCTGCGAGGCGGCTCCCAGCTGGACTTCCCACGGGGACCCTAGCTTCATGGGGGGCCTGGGCTTCCCGGGCAGACCCCTCAGCTCCCTCTTAGTCCTTCCTAACAGCCTTTTTTCTTTAGCTGAGACAAAACACACCATTTCTCCCACTCCACCTGGCCAGTCCAGGTGGCTGACACCAGAGCTTCTTATAGGCCCTCCCGGGAAGGAGGAGCTGTGGGACATTTCTCAAAGCCCCCATGAGGGCGTCATGGCCGGAGGGAAGAGAGCAGGCAGGAGGGCCTCCCAGTCCAGGCAAAGAACTGGTGGTGGTGGTGGGGGAGGTGTCCTTTAACCTATTTAAATCCAATCCAGCACAGGGCCCCTGCGGACCTGGCTGTGGCTTACCTGTTTCTACCATCCCTGCCCCCTCTCGGGCTGGGTTCAAAGCTCAGCCCTGCGTCTTCCCTGCTGTGTGACTCTAGGCAAACTCCACTACCTCTCTGGGCTTCACTTCCTCTTCTGTAACACTAACCTCGCAGAGTGTGGTAGAGAAGAGTCAATGAATTCAGACAAGGAAAGTTCTAGAACAGTACCTGGCATACAGTAAGCATCCCATAAATGCACGTGGATCTTAGGATACCCCAGGAGCCTGGCACTTTGCTCCAACAGAGATAAGTGTGCCCGGTTGAGGATGCTTTGGCCGCCACCAACTTTTCTCTAGTTTTCTTTTAAAATGTGCATTTGTTGCTACCATTAAAAAAAAAAAAAATTGGGGCTGGGTGCAGTGGCTCACGCCTGTAATCCCAGCACTTTGGGAGGCCGAGGCGGGTGGTTCACTTGAGGTCAGGAGTTCGAGACC